CCCGGCCCCACACCCCCGCCCCCGCTCCCAGCCATCCCCGACCCCGCACCCCGCTCGGGCCCGCCCCCGGTCCCGCACCCAGGGCCACCCCGGGCTCACCAGGGGGGGTGTCCAAGGTGGGATCAAAACTGCGTTTTAGCAGTTAGGCCCAGGGGGTGCAGGCTTCCGCTGCGCACCCCGTTGTTTTTTTTTTTTTTTTTTTTTTTTTTGTTTTTGATTTTTTTTTTTTTTTTTTTTTTTGGCCCCTCCCGGGCCGGGGTCAGGGGACCACCGCACCGGACCCCCGAGGCTGCCCCGGACCCCCGGGCCCGGGCTGTGACAACTCTGAGGGCTAGCAAACTGGGTCAAGAATTCTGAATCTCTCGAAAACTAATGCCTCAGTATTTCGGTCCTTGGGAAGTCTTAGATATTGTGGGTAGTGACTTGGATGGTCCCTCGTATGTCTCTAGAATCCTTGGTCACCTGCGCACTTACCCTCACCTTTTGCTGAGACAGATCAATTCCCATGAAGGAGGTCAATGCTGCCCCCAACCATGGATGGTCATGTGGACGTCAACGATATTTTGGAACACAGAGACTTGCCTGTTCCTAAGCCAGTGGGCAGAGGAAGACCGCCCAGACCTGTGAGGAAGTATCTGCAATCAGACTCAACTTATTCACACTTTTCATGCACGTGAACAGCGGAACAACAAACTGGCGACATGCGCCCCCATGGAACTCCGAGATATGGCTTCCGGGTAACAGTTCGCTTCCACTGGCTATGGCGACTGTGCGCCTCAAACAACTCACTGTTCACACTCTGGATCACCCTGGATGTCCCACACACATCCCTCTGAACACTCACACAGTACACACACACTGCACTCTATACTAGGCTGCCGCTGCCTATCGCTATGGCTACACTGCTTCACTCTCGCCCACTTCGTCTTCGGGCCTCCAGCAGACCTCCTTGCACAAGACGCTGAGGCAGCGCTTCCGCATGGCTTCCGCATGAATGAATGAAAGGCTGAGCGCAGCCTCTTGATTTATACTTCTGTGAGGCGTTGGTCTGCCCTGTAACCCCTGGCCCATAGTGCACACAGTCCCAGACGGCACTTGCTTGACTGGACCGGACTGGGTGGACTGGGACTGCTGACTGTACGAGGTGGACTGCCACCACTTGACCACTTGCCTCTGCCTAATGTAGGCTGACTCCGAAAGGCCACTTCTAGAAACCTCTATCTTGGCCTTTCGGTACTGTAGCAGCTACGACTTTGCCCTTTCCGGTAAGTAGCAGCTACGACCTTGACCCTTCAAACAGTCTACAGTTACGACCTCTGGACTGTCTAGACCCCTACCCGACAGGTCTACAGTTCGAATCCCTTCTACCCTGTGACCTACGAAATCCTACCTACCACTGGCGGTCCTACAGGTCGCAGGTTCAACTCTACGGATTGACACAGATACTGTACATAGGTAAGGTGAGGAACTAGGGATCGAGCCCCGGGATCTGCATCAGCTACTGCAAACCGGTGAATACTGTTTCATATCGGGTCAGGTTCAGGCATTATACAGATCCGAAAGGAGATTGTTGGTTCACAAGGGAGGAGCTGGTCAGAACAGCACCTCAGATCGTGGCAGAATACGAACGGAAGTTGAAGGGGAAGGCACCTGCGTAGAAGCATCTCAGCGGACTTTTAAAGCTAAGGGGATGCCTTGGGGGGCCCTCATCAGACATGCAAGTGTTCTGGGCCGCGGCCTCGAACAAGCCCTAAGTGAAGGCGGGCCTGAATATCCACGTGCCCGCCCTAAGTGAAGGCGGGCCTGAATATCCACGTGCCCACCCTAAGTTAAGGCGGGCCTGAATATCCACGTGAGGCCTATTTTCGACATTCTTTTCACATGTGGGGTATCAGACAGTTGCAGCACGCCAGTTGGTTGTAGAACAACGTGAGCCTCAGGCTCCTCTCATAAGCAAGGGCTGCGCTGTACGGTTGAGCCCAGGGCCGAGGCAATTGTTACATGCTGAAAGCCTACACACGGGCCCCTCACGGGACCCGAGGTTGGAATAGGGCCCCCAGGTCGCGTCACCGCAACCTGAAGGCCCTATGGCATTTTTACTTGGGCCTGCATCAGAAAAACGCCAGCTTTAGATTATTTTTATAGTCTTTATTTTATTTATTTGCTGCTGTTTTTCTAACGGGTGTACTG